TGCTTTTTTTTTTAGCAGAGTGTCAGGGGCTCAAACTCAGGTCCTCCTGCTTGCAAAGCAAGTACTTTACCAAATGATTCATTTCTCCAGCCTTAAAAAAATGTTTTTGAGGAACTTTTATCCTATTTTCTATATCAACTTTGTCATCCTCTTAAATTTAGGAGTATTTTTCTGAAGAAAACAAAACTGTCAGGCGTCTTAGGCAATGAAATGTCACACTACTGCATGTGAAATAAAGCAGTCATTTTGAAAATGTGAATTAAGTGGTGTGTGCGTGTGTGTGTGTATGTGTGTGTAAGCCAGAAGACAACTCGGCTGTCATTCCTCAGGAACTGGTCATTTAAAAAAAATTTTATTTATTTATTTGTTTTTGGGTTTCTGTTTACATGGGCCTATGTACACATGTGAGAGAGGCCAAAAGAAGGCATCAGATCTCTTGGAGCTGGAGTTAGAGACCTTTGTGGGATGCCTAGCTTGTTATACCATGCTGGGATCTGCCGGTTCTCATGACTGCACAGCATGTGCTCTTAACTGCTCAGCCATCTCTCCAGCACCTCCACCCCCATCCACCTTTTCTTTCTTTCTTTCTTTTTTTTTTTTTTTTTTTTTTTTTTTTTTTTTTGGGGAGTTATTAGGATCCCAGGAACGTCCCTGGAGGCTAGGCTGGCTCCCAGTGAGCCCCAGAGATCTGCTTTGTCTCTGCCCCTCCCCCTCAGTGCTGGGATTCTAAGTGTATACCAGCACCACTGGCTTTCTCCCAGGGTTCTGGGGCTCAGGCTCAGGTCCTCATGACTGCACTATCTCCAACCCTCAAAGTTTTTGAAAGCGATTCTTTTGAAGGACAGCACAATCATTTGCTATTCTTTCTCCACACATACTTCATGTGCTTTGCTTTTGAAGGACTATTCAGTTAAGCATTATCTAGTCCTAGTAAGTCCAATGATTATTTGTGATTTTAAAATTCAATGTTTTCAAAAGATTAAAATCTTAAAAATACAACTGGAGAAAAGAAGTCAAAGAGCTACCCCTAAATTATTTTCTATTTTATCCAATTTAACATGGTTAATGGGAAAATACATTACACACTCCAGCATTTAGTTTGACAGTGTTAACAAAAAAAGCACTGTTATCAGAATGAGCCGGATCATTCTGTTGATTTTTCATGCCTTGCCAGTACTTTCTCCTTTTATTATTCTCCTATCCCATTCCTTTACCTCCCTCCTGTCACTGGCTAACCATCCCATAGCAAGTATTACAGCCGAAAGACTGGGACAAAGATAGCCTCCAGTAATCCAGAGAGGAAATGATATTTTAGGGGTCATGGTCTCTATTGGTAGGACAGATCACAGAAGAGGTCCTCAGCCTTCTGCTTTAATTATAAGATACCTATTATCAGATAATTTTATTAACTGAAGAAGAAATTGGTTTTTTTCTATCTCCAGTAGATTAGTTGAAAAGAGGATTAAAGACTCACTAGAAATACCAGGCACTGTGGAAAAATCCTGTCTTTAAGCTCTTGTTCTCAGTTGGCTAGACAGAGCCTTCTGCTTACCTCTTGGTTCCTCCACAAAGAGGGCTCCCCAAATTAAACTGAAAGTCATTTGCATTTTTACATCTATTCTTTCTATATCTGAAAGTCATTTGCATTTTTACATCTATTCTTTCTATATCTTGGTGCATGTAAAGCATATAGACCTTTTCTAGACCAGGCAAACCATGCATTTTTGCAAACATAGTAGCTGTCTCCCAACTTTCTAGTAAAAGGACAAAGTTTAAAAAATAGAGACCAGGGATGGAGCTGAGTGGTAGAGCACATGAAAGACCCTAGCTTTAGTTCCCAGCACCCCAAACAAACAAGCAGAAGAGAATTAAAAGAATCATGAAACTGGGATGAAAAACTGAGCACCCCCAAGTGTAAATTAGTGACTTATTTATGTTCACTACATCAGAATTTTCAAACCCCTTGCTGTTTCCTCTTTGTTATCTTCTAAATAGATAGTAGGAAAATCTTAAATGTAGAATAAAAATAGAAAATCAAAATTAAGGAATGTAGAGCAGCCAAGTGGGAAAAATGAAGTCATAATTATAAAGAATAGCTGGGAAAGACTGTAAAAACAGAACACTTTTGAGAAGATGTTCATTTAAAACCAAAAGTTTATTTTTGAGACATTTATTATAAAAATGGTTGTTAGAACCCTTTGATTTAAGCTAAGTATTCAACATTAATATCTAGGGTATAATTCTTTTAATGTATATGAAGAAAACCACAGAAAAGTTGTAAAAATCAGACTTATTTTTAGGTTCACTAATTAACTAAAAAGACTTCTCCTCCTGTTTAAGCTGATATATAATTAAGGTATCTAAGTACAGGGAATTCGTTCTTAAAGCTAAATTAGAATGTAGGAGGTAAAACCTGAGAGTTTTCAGCTACTCTTTATTAAAAGTACAAGCTTCTGAAAGCATGAGTGAGACTTCCAGGAAGTCATTGAAAACGGACTAGGCAAGGGCCCGTGATATGTGCTATGGGGGTATCAAGACCATTTTTCTCTCCGTGGACCTGTAACAGGCTGATAATGCAATGACTCGAGAGGGAGAGAGGGAAATGCTTCCTGAGATTGGTTCTCTTAGATTATGTGTGAGGATTGAGTTTTCTAAATAGTGTGGAGTTGACTGCTGTAAGCATCAAGAACTTGTATTTTAAAGTAGTGAACAGTGGGGACACTGAATATACCTTAATGTTTTTGAAAATGATGTAGAGTTGTCAGATGAGCTCAGGCTCATACCAATCCAGCGTGCAGTCATGTTCTCAGGACTGATTGATCAGATGGTTTGATCTTGCCCCCATGACTTTGAACTGTTCTGTGTGATTATCAGCAGGCATTGATGATGGCTATTTAATAGCTCCTCTTTGAAAATTAAGGAATGTATCAATGTTCAATGATAAACACACTTTAGCCCTCACTAAACCTCTGTGAAGAAGGTGCTGTCTTTATTTTATAGATGGTTACAGTGAGATGTAGAAGGGTAAAGAAGCTTCTGAGTGCTTAAGATTCAAACCCAAGTCTTGCTCTCTAGCACCTGATCGTGTTATTACTGTGCTGTAGGACCACAGACTTTTATCCGAATTGTGAGGTCCAGAAGTTATAAATACAGAATTTCAAGTTTGGATGCCCAACTCATTCTTTGGCAAAATCCGCTTTGAGCCAACTGACTTGAAATAATCAACTTTATCCTAATTTGTGTAAATGTGCATATAGTTCCTATGGCTGTATTGTATCTGTATAGTATTTCATATTGCATACGCATGGCATATACTCCATTTTAACTTTTAAAAACTGTGAAACCTTTCCATTCTGAGACTGATGGGTTTCAGAGGGGCATCGGCCTGTTGGCTAGCTTTTGCTGACCACAGGCCCACTTCATCTTATTCCATGATTCCAATCTGCTGCTCCTAACCAGCTGTAGACCAGGAAATTTCAGCATGCAAGTAAGTAGTATGTATTAAGTAGTCAGGTGCCTTTTCTCAAACCTGCCTTGCTATGTGAATGTTGTGCACAACCAGCTCCAGAAGATCCCCTGACCTCATCTTTTATTTTACCTTTTATTTTAACTAATATATAATAAACAGATTTGGTCATATCAATCATATTAATGGAGTAACTTGTAATGTTCAGTACATAACTAGGTTGCATAATGTTTCAAATCAGGTTAAGCACATTTATCTTGTCAGTCATTTAAGCCTTTATGACAAAAAACTTTCAAAATCCTTTTATTTATTTTTATTTTATGTATATGAGTGTTATGCCTACATATCTGTAAGTGCACCTGTGTTGTGCATTGCCCGAGGAGGACAGAAGAGGGTGTTGGATCCCCTGGAACTGGAGTTATGGACAGTTATTAGCCACCATGTGGGAGCTGGGAACTTAACCTGGGACTTCTGCAAGAACAGCCAGTGTTCTTAACCACTGAGTCATCTCTCCAACCTTAATCCTTTTATTTTTGAATTGTATGATACACAGTTGTTATCTGTGTTATACAACAGTGCACCAGAACTTACTCTCCTAACTTCAGCTTAGTAGCCATTGATAACACCCTCCCTGCTATCCCCAACCTCTGGAACCACCATTTTATTCTTAGATTCTTCTAGAAGATCAACTTTTTGAGGTTCCACATATGAGTGAGCTCATGTTGTACTTAATTGCTCTGTTTGGCTTACCTCACTGACCTGTTTTAAAAAAAAATTTTTTTTCAGAATTTCATACATGAGTACTGTATTTACATCGTTTCCATCCCTCCCTCTCCTCCTATAACTGCTCTTTTGTTCCCCCACTCCCTCTGGGAGCATATCTCAGTGGCAGAACATTCTTTATAGTTGATGATGTGCCTGCCCCTCTCGGACATACCATGGTAGACTATCTGTTTCGGAGTGCACTGTGAGCTGTTTCTTTGGCACACAGAAGTCCTATGTCTTAGTCAGAGCCACTTTTTTGGAATTACAGAGCCTCCTAACTCTGCTGCCAGAGTGGCAAAGCTGTGGTTCCTGAAGAAAGACATTAGAAGAAAAATCTTAAGACACACTTGGCACGCAATAGGTAAAACTTTATCAAATGAATGGATCTGTTGCCTCTTGGAAACCCCCGTGAACAGGAGTGGATTTCCATGTTCTACTGTTTTTGTGCTTGGCAATTTTCCCACAGTGTTTATTTGAAAACAAACTCAGATTATATCCCAGGTCACTTTTATATTGCTGCTACTAACACTAGGAACATATTTGTGCTAAGAAGAAACTGCTTCCAAGGTTGCCTCTTGGAATAAATGCTCTTTTTCTCCTCTAATTAAGTTATTTTCTTAAACTTGCCATTTCAGAGGATAAAAATTTAGCTAGAAACTGCAGGATTACTTCATTTTCTCCCTCCCTCAGCCAGTAGTAATTATGTTAACATGAGAGCACTTTATTTGTCCAAATGTTAATTTTATGGAATATTTTCATCTCTTAATAGGAAGAGATAATGCATGTGAGAAAACTTCATACATGTTTCTACGAAAGGAACTTCCTGTGCGACTGGCTAACACAATGAGAGAAGTTAATCTTTTGCCAGATAATTTGCTGAGCCGCCCTTCAGTGGGGTTGGTTCAGAGTTGGTAAGTAAATATTGTGTCTTAAAATGAATCATCCCACAGTACTCTACACATTTTGGCATTGGAATCATTCTCCACAGAAATGCACATACTGTCTTGTCTGGAAATGAGTAAGTCAGGATAGCTGAGTTTTCCATGCCGTTACAAGCTTTTCTTTTAACCATTTGTTTTGAAAGTGTTTAATAAATATATTCCAAATCATACTAGACAATTTCTTGACTTTTTTTTTCTTGCTATTGACATAGTTGATCACTTATAAAAAATGGAAAGCAGAAAACAGAATAAAGGAACAGCAGTGCAGTGGTCCCGTTCAGTGGACCTGCCTTTCTTTCACTTGTTCTTCAGATAGGGTCCCATGTATCTCAGGCTGGCCTTCATTTCAATTCATAGCTGAGGGTGACCTTGAACTTGTGATCCTCTTGCCTCCTGCGTGCTGGAATTACAGGCATAGGCCACCATATCCATTTTATGTGTACTAAAGATTGAACTCATGCTTTGGCCATCTGCCCTCCTTTGGATAAGATATTTTCCACTTTTATTATGTCTCAGCCTTGCTCTTGCTTTTTCTTTTCCTTTTGAAGATCTTCCATGAAGTCAGTACTCTTTAGAACAAATCAAGTCATTTGAAAGGGAACCTCAGATTGGAACAATATGAGCTCCATGCAGTGCTTCATCTGCCCTATGAAAAATCTTGACAAAGTAAAACAAAGTGAAATCAGTTATAGCTCTGATACGTTGTTTAACTTAGGGAGTGGAATTGGTGATGAGACGCCCCACTAGGTAAGCAGGGTGAGATTATTGAGTTGGCAGACTGTAAGAACAGGGTATTTTTTTAGCCAGGGGTTTGCATATGTTTGTCTACTCCACTGTAAAAGTATAATAGAAATGTCTGGGAAAAGCTGGAGGAGCTTAGGGATCAGGTGGTATATGTGCTGCCAATCAGGAACAGTGCTGTAGGAGCCCAGAAGAGGGGCAGAACATGCTGGCTTTGGCCTTGTACTGCCCCTTGATGGATGGAATTGACTGGTATAGAGGACCAGGAGAGCATCTTAAGAGAATACGGTGGACTAATGAAAGGAAAATGGAAAGCCTTCACTAGCTTGACTTTAGAGAGTTCATGGTGACCTGGCTAGTGACAGAAAATAGACATTCAGCAGCCATTCCTTAATAATAATGTAGTACATTCTTGAGGCTAAGGATCTGAGAAGCACTGTTTTAATACTTACTCCCTTTTCCAGAAAAGCAGCAGCTCCTGACTGTGAGGACAAAGTCCTTAAGTTGTAGGAAAGATCAAGAAACAATGACCATGGATTTGATACCATGGTTTGCATTCTGCTCTGGATTCATAGGTTATTTGTGAAGGAAGGAGCAACAAACACTTGTTTGCACAGGGCTTCTTTATTGCTTTAAGACTGTCATTGGAGATTTTGCAGCAAATAGTATAAGTCGCTATCAGGGACCACTATGGTGAGGGTTCTAGGTAGGCAGTTGTTGGTGGTAGTTAACCATTTTCTATTGCTCATGTAATAGTTACTTCAGAGACTTGAGAGTGAATGGCTGCCTCTGCAGTGTTTTCCAACACCAAACAGTTCTCATTCTCTGGACTTCAGCCACTCAGTTCAGCACCAGTGCTAAGTATCTGAAGTCAGACCTCACAACTTAAGGGCTCAGTCCCTCAAGACTGATGCCCCACTTCAGATGTCAACCGCAAATCCTGGATCATATGTGCTTTTAACTGACTGGCTGTAAATTGAGTTTCCATGACACTCTTCTGAGGTTTCCTCATTTGTTGGAATGGCTTACAGAACTCAGAGTGAGACTTTGCTTATCTTTACAGCTTAATTCTAAAAGATACAAACCAGAAATGGCCAAATGGAAGACATATGTAGGGCAAAGTGTGGGTATGGATTTGTAGCTGTCATGGCCTCTGTGTGTGTACCTTCATTAGCACCTCCATTTGTTCAACACATAGCTTTCAGAGTCTTCTAATTCAACAGTGTTTATAGAGCTTAATTTCCAGGTTGAGGGTTGGGCTAAAAGTTCAGCTCTCCAGTTACTTGGTTATTGTCCTGCCCAGCAGTATCTTAGGCTGTCTAGAGGCCCTACCCTAAGTCACCTCATTAGCATAAACTCTGATGAGATCAGTAGGTGCTTTTTATGAATAATAGAAGATATTCCTGTCATTCTGGAAATTCGAAGGTTTAGGAACTGTACCAGGAACCAAGAGTAAACACCAAATGCATTTTTGTATTATACTGCACCGGCAAAGAAAAGTATAGACTCAAACAAATCACTGTGTTAACCTTTCTTTGTATCATCACCATTCTTCCATGTGTACTTCAAATACTTTCATGCCATTTCTTCCTGTTTGTTTCTCACACATTCCATTTTGAAAAATAATTTCCTGCCTAAGGGTTATAGACCAGCAGAAAAAAATTGCCATATTCCCTCACCCAGATTGACCAATTATTAACATTTGGTACATTGCTCTTTCTCATTCATGTTCATATTCTCTGTCTCTTTCTCATCATATATGGGGAGAGAGAACATGAATAGTATACGTCTGTGTGTGTGTGTGTGTGTGTGTGTGTGTGTGTGTGTGTTGTATTTGCATATAGACACGGAAAAGTTTTCACCATCAAAATGGACTCACTAAAGTGAGGAAGTCATGAAGGAAGAGTTCTTTTGCATGGTTGCCTGTTAGTGAATAGCATAAAAGATTCTTGGGGAGCTCCAAACTTGTACAGAGGCCACTTCAACCTTATAAAAAAGTACTGCTTATTATAAGGCCATCTGGCCAGTAACTGTTCAACCTCTAACGTGTTCCATCCTTGTTATTAATCATTATGACCAAGGATGATTGTTTTCAAATATCTGATGTGATCATTTTTTCTTTAAAAAGTCTCCTTGCTTCAACCCCTTTGAACATACCCATAGATGAATACAGCATGTGCTTTCCAATTACAATACTATTCCCAAATAAATATCAGTAATCTTTGAGAATGTATTCCTGATTGTTCCTTATTTAGAGTGATACCACACACACACACACACACACACACACACACATGTATTTTTTTTTCTTAAATCACTGGGTTGAGGTTGGCACATTATGCCCCATTGCTCCCAAGTACTTCAAGTAGTATTTCTGGGGCTAAGTCTTAGAAAACCATAATATAAGTGTCACATTTGGGAACTTTAACATTGACCTAATAATATTTCCCAATAGGTACTACTTATTATTTTACTAATTGTCTTACTAGTTTCCTAGGATTTTTTAAAAAAATTCCCTCTTGATTTAAGAATCCAGTTTAGGATTATGTATTGGTGTGCTGTTGTCATTTCCCTTCGCTTTTAAAAGTGATTTTCGGTGTACCATTGACTCTCCCACCACTCCCTCAGCTACCCTGTGCTCTTCCTGCTTTCTGGATTTTTTTCAGGCTATGAACCTCAGCATAATCTTGGGACTCTTCTCTAGTTATAACCTCGCTCTTTAAAGGACTTTCATCTTGGGAAAGGACTGGAGCTTACCTAAGTTAGCTCATGTGTGGCAGGGTGGATGGGCACCCTCACTGGGCCTGGCTAACCCTGATATTTAAGGGTGGTTTGACCTCATTATTTTAATAATACCTAACCCATAGCCTTCTGTGCCCAGAAACTTTTAAAAAAAGATTGGAATATGAGTGCACTGTACTGTCAAATGCATCATCACAAGGTTCATGTGAATCAAAATGCCATTCCTGTTTATGTATTTATATGTGTAACAGCCATATTTAGTCACTGGAGTGTCCTTATCCTCTATAATAGGATTAGTTGTAATTAATTGTTAGAAATGATTAGAACAGAGGGATAAGTCTTTCAGGATGTGTTAAGCCCCAAAGCAGAGACTCATACGCCTCTAATTGGAATATCTGCAGCCATGCGAGATCCAACTTTCTTGTTTCTGAATTCTTGGTGTACACTTCAGTGTCACACAGGTGTTTAAAATTTTGTGTACTTTTGGAATAATCAAACTGTAGACTTGGACAATTAGTTAGGCTGTATTTCTAATAGCTGACAATGCAGCTGACCCTGGCTTATACAGCTAGAAAGGCCAGGTATAGGATGAGCTTTTCCTGTCAGTTTGAATCAGAGATTCATAAAGCTATAAAAGTCGTGCTTTTGCTAGTGTTGGCTTCCTTTTCAGATGACTCCCCCCAGGTGGCAAGGCTAACTGTAGCAGTTGCAGATTTCATGTCCTGTAGCACGCATTACAAGACAGCACATTGGTTTCTTTCCCAGAGACCTCCAGCAAGACTTCCCCATTCTTCTTTCAGCCTGAATGAGGCACTTTGCCTATTCCTGAGCTGATCCCTGTACTCAGGGACTGCACACAGTTCATAGGCTTAGATCTGTGCCATTAGACCAATAACTATTGACAAGAGACGTAAGATCCTCCAGAGAAAAATGGGACTTACCTGTGTGCTTCAGAGACATCTAGCTCTCTCCAAAAGTACTTGAGCTGCTTGTTCGGATGGGGTGAAACCTGAGTGAAAACTTGGAGTACTCTTGGGGAAGGGGAAGGGAGAGAGGGTGTAGGATAGGCAACTAACATGGCAACTCTTCTTTCGTAGGTACATGCAGAGTTTTCTTGAACTTTTAGAATTTGAAAATAAGAGCCCTGAGGATCCACAGATCTTGGATAAGTAAGTGTCATTTGCCTGAAAGTAAATATCTCTAGGCCAAAAATCCTTTGGTAAATTGAACTCGTGTTATAAAGACTCAGGGCTGGGGAAATGGCTCAGTAGGTAAAGCGTGAGGACCTGAATTTGGTTCTCAGGTACTCAACAAATGCCAGGCAGGTGTGATAGCCTGCTTATAATCCTAGTACTTGGGAGTCAGTGGCAGGGGACCCCCTGGTCAAGCTGCCTAGCTATACTAGCCAAATCAGCAAGCTCTGGGTTCAAACAAGATACCCTGTTTCAAAAAATAAAGTGGAGATATCAACCTCTGGCTTCCACAAATACGTGCTCACACATTCAAGCATACATATATACACACACACCATACACACACACACACACACACACACACACACACACACACACACACACACACACATATACACACACACACACAAATAGAATTCAGGCGAATTCAGGCAGAAGTTTTCATTTTCTTAGTGGATAATGACAATGTTGGATTTTCTAAAATTTGAGTTTGTAATTTCACATAATATACAAGGAGCAATGGTATTTCAGTTAATACTTCATGACCCAATTATTTATTTATTTACTTGTTTCTTTGTTTTGTTTTGTTTTTGAGACAGATTCTTACTATGTAGCCCCAGCTGGCCTGGAACTTGCTATGTAGACCAGGTTAGCCTTGATCTCACAGAGATTCACCTGCCTCTGCCTTTCATGTGGTGGGATTAAAGGTGGTTTAAAGGTATGTGCCACCATGCCTGGCCATGACCCAATTCTTAATTTATTTAGTCTAGGTGAACTGGGCACCAACCTATGAGCATTGTAGTAAATGTTCCATCTAGTGGTAGTTTTAAGAATGCAGTCGTGGGGCTGGAGAGATTGCTCAGTGGTTAAGAACACTGGCTGTTCTTGCAGAAGACCCAGGTTTGAATCACAGCACCCACATGGCAGCTAACAACTGTCCGAAACTCCAGTTCCAGGGGATCCAATGGCCTCTTCTGTCCTCCGCAGGCATTGCACGACATGGGTGCACTTACCTACATGTAGGCAATACACGCATACACATAAAATTAAAAAAAGAAAAGAATGCAGTAGCATTCATATTTTCTAAAATATATATAAAATATGAATTATATATATAATGCTATCATGGTTTTTTTTGGATAAGCACTAAAGAATGTTTTCTTTATAACAACCCGAATCTGTTGCTGTCAAAAAAAATTGCCAAAATTCTCATGTTGATGGAAAGTATTTCTGTTTTCCGCTTTTGTTTAGCCAGCTGTAAGCGGGATTTTTTTTTCTTACCCAAGAGATATTAAGTATTTCCTTTACTTTAATTTCTTCCTGTTTTGGGTATACAGAGTGAATGAATTTGGTAGTCCTGCTGTGTTAAGAAATTTCTTTTAGTAAAAGTATAGACTTAATCTACATAGTTGTAAGACAGACACTTGAGTTCTACATGTTCTATAAAAAGAACTAAGGAAATACTGCATTATACAAACATCTTAGAGAGTTTTTAGCCCAGACATCTGAATACACAGACAAGGAAATGGAGGTCAGAAATGTGGAAAGCCGTGCCCATGATCGTGACACAGCCTAGCATTGCTGGACCTATGAATCATAGGTGCATTTCCTTAGCATACTTGTTCTTTACAATGTATTGTATGGCCATGAGTAGGTAGCTCAGGTTTAATTGTATTTTGTCTAATGAATCTGTGAATTGTGAAAGGTTTGAGCATAGGGTTAAGAACAGGTTTTCTTTTTTAAATATTTTATTTATTATTTTATGAGTATGAGTGTATTGCCTGCATGTATGTGAGTGCACCCATGTCAGGCCATGCTGCGGAGGTCAGAAGAGGGCTTTGGATTCCCCTGGAACTGGAGTTAAGGATGGTTCGTAGCCACCATGTGGATGCTAGGAATCGAACCCGGGTCCTCTGCGAGAGCAGTCAGTGCTCTTAACCGCTGGTCCATCTCTCCAGCCCAAGAACAGGTTTTCAATGAGGTGCAGTTTCTGTCAGTGGCCAGCACTGAATCCAGTGTGTGCTAGGTCACCATGGTAATACTCTTAGTGAGTTTTGATAACCTGCCCACTTTATACAGCTAGTTTGGAGAATTGGAATCTGGGAAGCCCAATGCACTTGGTAAAAGGAGGAGTGAAAGGTAAGCTACTGTCCCGGTAAGGCCCTTACCATTTAGTGAGAGGTTATATAGGACCACCAAAAGTGGAATCACCTGTGTAAAATGATGGTGTTGATCATAATGGTGGAGTTAAGATAAGCCTTTCTTACTCTAAGGTTATATACTTAATTCAGCTGATCTTCTTTTATAATTTCTATGATTTTCACTCTTAATGTTTTTATCTTTTTAAAGAGAAACTTTTTGTGTCTGGTTTTGTGTGTGTGTGTGTGTGTGTGTGCGCGCGTGTGTGCGTGCGTGCGTGTGTGTGTGTGTGTGTGTTTAGACCAGAGGTTGACATCGCTTGTCTTCCTTGATCACTTTTCACCTTATTTTTTTGAGACAGGGAACCTAGAGTTCTCAGTTTTGGCTAGACTGGCAGTCAGTGAACCCCCAGGATATGCCTGTTCTCCACTCCTCTGGCTCTGGGGTTAAAGCCGTGTGCTGCCATACCTGACTTTTATGTGGGTGCTGGGAATCTGAACTCAGGTCCCCATGTTTCCTTAGCAAGCATTTTACCCACCAAACCATCTTTCCATCCCCCCTCTTGAAGGAATTTAAGGCTTAAAATTGGGATATGGTTAAAATTGTTAGCTCTCTGTCCCAAAAAATTTAATTATTTCCCTATTGACTTGCATTGTTGCTTTCTTAATATGCTGAATTTTGGTGCACACATACTCTCTGAACCTTGAACCTGCCTCCACAATTCTTATTTTTGTTTGATTGATTGACTTATCTTTCTGTTCTTATGTTACTGTATTTAATCCATATTGCCTATACAGCTTTACAGTAATATAACAGAACACTTGAAAATATTTTGTCATTTGTTTTGAAATGGGGGGGTCCTTCCTATATTGTCCAGGCTCATCTTGGGTACCTTGGCTCGAGTACCCTCCTGCGTCTACCTCCTGAGTATTTGGAACTACAGGTATGTGTTAGTCATCCAGCAAGTAAATTTATTTTAATTGACCTTGTTATATCTACATTTCATCATCATATTTTACTGCTGCAAGGAAGTTATTTCAAAGTTTTGCTCTTGAAAATTTTGGCATTCTTTATTTGTAGAAGAAGCTATTGCTTTGAGACTCCATTCATAAGTTCTTGGAGACTTTGAAGGGATTGTCCTCATGTTGTCATGAGAAATATTGGTATGTTCTATAATTCTGTATTCAGTAAACATTTATAGAAGCTGTATTACATGTAGCCACTTAGCCAAAATGTCAGTTCATTCCTGAAAATATATTTGAGCATCTTTTCCTTACTAGAATATTTTTCTTTTTGAAGTGCCATAGGCACTATAGAATTCAAGTTAAAACGTGGGTTAGGTTTTAGTTTTTGTGACTACTTCCTTTTACTTCCTAATGAGACTGTTTCTACCTATAAAAATACCAGCAGATAACCAGACAGGTGGGAAGTGTATGTACCAGCCCATGAGATATAAAGACTGACCACATTTTGTTTCCTTCCCACACAGCTTTCTACAAGTTCTGATTAATATTAGAAATAGACACAATGATGTGGTTCCTACAATGGCTCAAGGAGTGATTGAGTACAAGGAGAAGTTTGGGTTTGATCCCTCCATTAGCAGTAACATCCAATATTTCCTGGATCGGTTTTATACCAACCGCATTTCTTTCCGCATGCTTATTAACCAGCACAGTAAGTTGGGTTTTGTTGGGTCTAGTTTTGAAAAGGTAACCATGGTGCTTTCTCCCAAAACTTTGTCTGTTGCTTCACTTTTAATTACTGACCTAGACTTTTGGCTGTAGAAATTTCTTTTCTAGTTCACTTTTTCCTATGTGAATCCTATCTATTTAAAAAGCTGTTAGTTGATATTCCTGATTAAAAGCAATCATTGGATGTTTGTATTATAGACAAGACCATTGTCTACCTTTCAAGGATCTGTTATTACAGTCCTTGTGGAGATGAGGGACTGGCTTTAATAGCAACCTGGCATTCATCTCTCAGTACTTAACATGTGTCTCTGAGAATATTTTCTATTCTTTATCCAAGACATTGTGTATTTTCCTTCTCAGTTTTAAAAAAACATCAATCAGTAATGGGAAGATTGAATTACCATGTTGGTAATATAAACAATTCCCTTTATTTCACAGTAATAGATGAAATCTCAGTAAGCAAGATTATCATTCCATAATCTCACATTAAGAATTTTAGTTCATTCTCCGTGGTGATAAACAGGGGAAAAAGCAAAAAACTCAACACAAAGAAGTTCTTGGCTGATTTTCAGTGTAACTGCCTTGGTTGATTTTATAATTCTTAAAAATCATCGACATGTTTACAGTGCCATTTGTTGTCCTTGCTGAACCAGAGAACGGACAAAGCTCATTTATTTTACTAATTTGATTTATTTAGATAAGCAAATATTATCGGACTATTAAGTATATGTTTATTTTAAGTATGTATTTTTAGGAACAAATGTATGACTGTTTATAGAACAAGGAACCTAAATACTAGCAAGTTAATCTACAATAAGTGCAATTTCCTTATCTAAACATATATGTTTACATATAGATGTGTATTTTTTAGATTGTTGAGCTTTTTTTCCTATTCTTAATAAGTTGGAACTTTATTTACTGGCCTGATACATGTATTTACCATTTTTCATAATTTTGAGCCACTCTTTATTGGAGAATTTTCTTTTTGCAAAGTCTATTATTTCCCAGTTTTGCTTGATGCAAAAATAAATACACCTATAAACATTTGGATTGAGATTGCTTGTTTTCTTTATGGCTTCTTTTGGCATTTATTCTGAAATAAATTTTTTGAATCTTGTGTGGAGTAAAATTGAATGGTTTTTAAAAATACTTGAACAAATATTGTTTGTGTACATGGAATTGAAAAATAGCCCCCCATGGAGGCATTTCCAGTGCTGACAGTGAAGGTGCAGACTGCCTGTCGTAAGTACTTAGTGACTGCTGGGATAAATGGCTAGAGTAGTCCTGAGCAGGTGACTAAACTTGACTAAAGATGGAACTAAGTCTCTTGATCTAGTTTACATTGGCTGGGGCAGGGCTGGGGGAGGGTTGGGGCGTGACACATGCCACTCACTGCTTTAGGAGCTACTGACTGCAACTGATGGGGCTTAAAGTACATCCTTCCTCCCTGTTGGCTGATGGATTTGCTCACTCATCAGTTGTATATTCCATTGCAGTAAGTCACTGTGCTTACTGTATGACTGTTAAAAATAAAAGATCTCTAAGCACTCATAAACCTCTCTATTTCTCTGTTTGACCATCCCCACTTCTTGTATTTCAATCTTTTCCTTTTTCTTTTGTGTTTGTTTAGCACTTCTGTTTGGTGGTGACCCTAATCCTGCTCATCCTAAACACATAGGGAGTATCGATCCCACCTGTAATGTGGCTGATGTGGTGAAAGGTAAGGAGACCAACCCGATGTCACTGACCATGGCTGAAATAGCAAAGTAGTTTGTTTGAGGCAGCTCAGCTGTAGGGTTATATTGCTATGTAGTCTGTGATTCATCAGGTCATCTTAGGCCTAAGCCACTTAATCCAAATATGAAATGTTCTTTCTAGACAGTTCAGGGAAGATGTATGATTTCTGATGCTTACAAGGTCAGTTTCTACTTCATTAGTCGAGATAGTTACATCTCAAACAGTAAACATTTTCATAACGTTCTAGATTTTGACATCCCACTATTTCTATTTCCTTGTTATGAAATGGAGCTGAGTGGTCGATTTTTGTCAAATTTACATGTTTTTCTGTTGCATGCTCTGGGTGTCTATCTCTACAGCAGGTACCTCTTAGCTAGACACTATGCCAACGATCCCAGGGCAGAACAGGCCCAGTAGTCACAAATCCCTGGCACATCAGACACTTTGAATTTGAATAGCAGGTTTCACATTATTCATTTAAAGTAAATGCTGTCTCAAGAAAGCTTGACTACCTATAATCCACCAGATTCCTGCCCTTCTTCAGTTTTCACTGTGTAGCCTCAGGTTTTCACCCTGTCTCTTTCCCCAGATTTCATCTCCCTCCTCTAAACACTCAGCTGACAGGTTTGCATGACCATACCCTTTCCTGGCTTTCATTAAGGATCTTGGTTGCTCTTTGGCAGCCACTGCTAAGGAAAATCTGTGCAGTGTGTTTTCCCCTGGTTTGCCTATGTCTCTGTTTGATCAGAAAACCTTTACTCACATTATTTCAGTTATAAGATGTTGGTCCACCTGATACATTACATGCATGCCTTTCCTGTTGAGCTGTAATCAGTGTAAGGTCAGGTAGTAGGTCTTGTTTTTTAACTCGCATAGTACCTTGGAGCGCCTTTGTAGATAGACGATCTGTAAATATTCCTTGGCTTGATGAATTTAAGACCCTTGATAATTTACTTTAAAAACTTTATATATAATCCTCATGCCTGACAATTCATCAATTTAAAGTGCACATACAATTCACTGTCCTTTAATATGTTCAGAGCAGTGCAACCATCACCACAGTCCAATTTTAGAATGTTTTCCTAGGCATAGGCAGCTGCTGATGTACATTCTTTCAATATGGATTCCTTTATTTTGGATATTTCTTTTAAAAAACATGCAATATATAGTCTTTAGTGGCTTATTTTCTCTCACTTAATATAACATCTTCAAATGTCAAAGAATCCTGCATTCGTTTGTTATGGTTGAAAAGTACTTCATTGTATACATAATATGCCTTATGCTTATTCATCAAGCGATGGGTGTATGGGTTAACTGGGTGATTTTGGATATTGGTAAGACCTTTTAGCCTCAGGTTCTTTTTCTATAGAATGGGGCTTTAGAGTTTTATAAGCCAGTTGAAAATTTAATTAGTGAGTATTTTAAAGAAATATTTTTAGCTTTTTTGTAACATTGGTATGGTGGTAATGTTTTTAATCGCAGCGTTAGAGTTATAGCTGCAAGAGATATTTGTAAATATCTGTACATGTTATGAAATAATGTGAATTTTGCTTCAAAATTAGACAGAGGACAGGGAATGGAAACAACAGCCTATGTGGAAAATGCTTGAGGCTGTTGATGAGCAGTTGGAGTTCATTGTACTGTGCTCTGCTCTGGTGGTGTTTGAAATTTAGCATAACAGAGTTTTGAAACACTCATTTTTATTTTCACATTGTTTCTTTATGAATCAAGTCTTTCACTCATTTTTAGGGAGGTTTTAGTTAAGAACCAGTGGAACCTGATAAGTACTGGGAGTTTTATGAAACCGTTAACTTCTGTAGTAGAGAGATTAAGCAGTGAGTCAAAGGCACTGCAGGAGAGTTCAAGGAGGAATCCCCTGTGACTTTTAAAAGAACCTATTATTTTAAACCGTTACTGTCAGCATTATTCTGTTATTTAGTACATGCTAACTACTCTTATCACTGTTCTTATGTTGATCTCTAAGTTGTATAAAATTTTCGAGGTCTGGCAGAGACTTTTACATCATTCTTAGTGACAGAAGTTTCGTACCAACTATGCAGAAAAGTTCAATATATATATTTGAAAGAAAAGAAAAGCCTAAAAGTTTATGCCTATAGGTTATCTCTTAGCCTCCTTGTTCATTCAGCTTTCTGGTGCTGTGACAAAATACCCAAGGAAATCCACTTAGAAAATTTGAAATTGAACCAATATAAAAGTTTCAGTCCACTATTACTTGGCCCCATCATTGGGGGCCTGCAACAAGTTAGAACATCGCAGCAGGACATGTGTGGCACAGCAAAGCTGCTCATCTTCTGGTGGCTGGGAAACAAAAAGAGAAAGTGGCCAGAGTCCCAGTATCCCCTTCAAGACCAGTGAGCTGACGTCCCTTTCCTAGGCCCCACATTCTAAAAGTTCTCTCGCTTCCCAATAATACCATAATCAGAGGCCAAGTCTTCAACACATGACCTTTGGGGGACATTTAAGATCCAAAACATAACATGCCTGTTTGGGTTTTTTGTGCGTTTTAGTCCCTATTTCAGTCCCTTCTTCCTCCTGCTTCCAGTACTCACAGCTTGTTTTTGCTGTGCTGAGGTCTTATATGTGCTAGCTAAGTACCCTATCACTGACCTTCATCCCCAGCCCACTTTTTACTTTGTATTTTGAGACAAAGTTTCACTACATTTCATAGGCTGGCCTTGGATTCACTCTGTAGTCCTTGCAGGCCTTTAACGTGCGATCCTTCTGCCTCATCCTTGTAAGTAGCTGGGATCGTAGACCTACACCACCAGGCCTGCCCACTCAGAGCTTTATCTTCACTCTTTCCTGCCATTTCTTTTTCCTTTATACCTAGTGGTGTATTGTGAATAAAGTTTGCTATACCCTCTCATGTAATCCTACCACTTTGAGGGGACATAGGTAAAGCCTCACTTCCTAGTAAGTTCCCTATGCAGTGTCAGTCACTCCCCATACTCCTCTGCCTCTCCACTTCCCCCAACACACACAGGCACATGTGCACATCCTGCTACTATGCTTGTGGGGTGAGGAGGGAGAAATTACATGCTCCCTGTTCCTCTGTGCATCTTTCAGGATTTTTCGTCTCTCAATAGCCTCATTCCTTAAGTTCAGCACTGGAGGGTAGTTTCAGATCCAAGGGCGCATAATGCTGCAAGCCACCTCCACATAATCAACTTTATGGCACCTTCCTTTCCTTCATAAACCATCGTGTAGCACACTGAAGCATCTTGGCTCATATTTTCTAGGATGCTTTTGTACTTATGCTTTCACCTGACAAGGTGTGTGCTTATTAAGGGTAACATATCTATATCCAGACTGTTGGTGTAAGTTATAGTACCTAATATGGCTATTTACTATGTCATTTAAACTGAAGAAAAGAGACTTTTCCCATTAAAATGAAGATAAATGGTTAAGAAGAGTCAAAAGAAAGTCTTTCTAAAAATATAATGAAATGGGGCTGGAGAGATGACTCATATTAAGAGCGCCTGCTGCTCTTGCACAGGACCTGAGTTTGCTTCCAAGCACCCACGTTAGGTGGGTGGCTTACAACTGCCTGTAGCTCAAGCTCTGGGGAACCTGACTCCTCCTTGTAGCCTCCACAGGAATTTGCACTCACATGAAGATACCCACACACAGACACATATGTACATATAATTAAAAATAAAATACAGTCTTTCAAGTATGTAATGGGATTACTGTGGACAAGAAAATGACTACAGAGCAAAAAAGAGTAAAATCTTAGAAGGAATTTATAATCAGGTTGCTGTACAATTATCTGTAAGTTTATAACTTTGTAATTACCTGTAAGTTTCACATGTGCAAAAAAGTACACATTAAAGAAAATTTAGAAAATGGGTAACAGGAATAAAAACTACATAGTTTGGTTTTGCTTTGCTTTGTTTGATTTTGCAGGGTTGGGGATGGAACTTAGGATTTTGCACATTGCAGGCAAGCACTCTACCACTGAGCTACATCCCTAACCCCAAATTACCTGTTTTCACAACCTAGTGAGAACATTGTTTTATACATTTAGACTCATAACAGCTTACAGATGAGTTTGCAACTAGAAATGCTGTGTGTAATCTTTGTCTCTGCAATTCATATTGTTGCTTTATTTCCACATGTCCAGTACTGATGCTCACCACATACCTCCTTTCTGGATGCAGTACTAGTAGTCTGCCTTGTATCAGTATTATTGGAATCCTTCCTGTAGCTCATCTGTAGTTCTTATAGTGTGTATATTCAGATGATCTTTCCAGTCAACCATGTATAATATTTATGTTTCAATGGGGAATTAGCCTTAAATAAGTTACTGTTCTTACTCTGGAAAGATGGGTTGGGCAGTCTAGAGTGAAACCTGAAGGCCTTTTCCTACTAATAAACTATTGTAGATTTTGGAAGCCAACTTTTTGCTTCATGTCCTATGGGCCTTGTTCTTTTTCTGTTTGTTTGTTTTTGTTTTGAGGCAGGGTCTCCCTGTAGCCTCAGGTAGCCTGAAACTTCCTATGTAAACCAGGCTGGCCCCTTTCTCACAGAGATCTGCCTGCCTCTGCTGGGATTAAAGTTGTGCACCACCATGCCTGGCCCCTTATTGGCCCTATTTTTTAAATTTGTTTTCATTGAACTTTTGTGTATTTCATACAGAACATCTCAAGCAATCATAATCATCTTTATACTCCTGTCCCCACTGGGACCCTCCCATAGCCCCGCCCCCCATTAGAACCTATATACTCTGTCATCCTTGTTAAGGCCCATGGTGTCAAGTCAGTGTCCCCAGACATTCCCCAGTGCAAATACATCCACTGAGGTCTAGTTAGCCTATCTAGAGTCCCTTGTTTATAACCTCCACCCACCTAGGGCTCAGGGAGCGTAGCAGAAGAGGGGGCGGAAAGATTGTAAGATCTGGGGAGGAGGTGCAGGACCATATGGAAACAGAGTCCTACAAACTCCTGGGACCCTGCTCAAATG